AGAAAAAAAAAAAAAAATTCACTGGATTGCCAGCGATTTAAGTGGCTGGGATGTTCACATGCTCTTCCCATCCTGTCTGGGTGACAGGTCCATTAAGAAACAGCTCAAGGGGACCAGCAGATGGTGTAATGGTTATGTTACTGGACTCCCAAGAGGTCGATGGTGGTTCGAGTCCCGGACCGGGTGACTTAAAACTCACGCTGGACACATGTGCGTGCGTGCCCAAGATCCCAAGCAAAGAATGGAGGAGAAGGGATTGTAGCATGGCCATCCCCCTGGGGGGGTGTTTTTTTGCTTTCTGTCTCTCTGTCTCTCTCTCCCCAGTGAGCGCACACACCTTAAAGCAAAAATCTCTCTACAATAAACAAACAAACAAACAAATAAATAAATAGCTCATGTTTGGTAGAGATAAAGTTAATTCTTTTGACCCTGACAGGGCGTGCTCTCCTGTGGAGAGCTGAGTTGCATCACCAGTTGCAACGCTGCCCGAAAGTTCTCTAAATAGCAGCTAAAAATCGTGACGTTGCTCCAAGCCTTTGTAAGAGTAGGTGGAACTGCTTCTGCTTAGAACAGACTCAGCATTGGCATCTCCTGCCCCAGTGACTGTGGTCTGGGCACATCTGAAGAGCTGCTGGTAGAGCCCGGCCCATGTCAGAGACTTTCTTCAACCAGCAGGGTCAGTGGTAACTTCTGCTGGAAATTAGGAGCCAGTAAGTCACACGATCCTGCTTTCAAAAGTCCAGTGATAGGGCCAGCAGATGGCGTGGTGATTAAGGTGCTGGACTCCCATATGGTTGATCACGGTTCAAGTCCTGGACCTGGCAGCTTGAAAATTGTGCTAGGCACATGTGCATGCATGCCCAAAATCCCGAGAGGAGAATGGAGGAGTAGGGATTGTGGCATGGTCATCCCCCTGGGGGGTTGATTTCTCATTTTCCCTCTCACTCTCACTGTCTCTTGGTCTCTCTGGTGAACACACATGCCCTATGGTAAAAACAAAAACAGATTCTTAAAAAAAGGTTCAGTGTTCTTTGCTGATTTAGAAAGGGCTGACTCACATTGGCTGGAATAACACTGTCTCAACTTAAAGTCCTAAGTGGACTGAAGTCTGAACTGCAGAGATGATCTGAATAAACTCCTGAACATCCATTACTGTTGTTATTACTGTTATTATTATTATTATTATTATTACAGCATCTGAGCAGAGAAGCCAGTGTCCTATCAAAATTTTCCATATACAAGACAAAAAAAATCTTTCCTGTGGATGTTTGAGAACCATCCTTGCAAATAATCGTGTATCTAGTAAGCCTGGCAGTTTTCCATCTCTTCTTAGGTCTCGAACTGGTGGCACTCTTATTTATTTATTTTTAAATTTTTAAAAATAATTTCTTTAATTTAATGTATTATTTATTATTCTTCAGAGAGAGAAAGCAAGCTGCCAGGTCTGGGACTTGAACTATGGTCGGAGTGGAAGTCCCATGTGGGAGTCCAATGCCTCAACCACCATGCCACCTGTTGGCCCCTTATTTTTAATTTCCTACAGGGTGCAAATGCTCACTGGAGAGAGACAGAGGGAGAGAGAGAGGGAGGGAACCCCCTCCCCCCGCTTTCTCCACTCCCCTCTTGTGTTTTTCAAACTACTGGGTCCAGGACTTGAACTGTGCACTTAGCCATGGTGGCGGGGTCCAGCCCCCTTGACCACCATGCCATGGGCTGGCCCTGGAACTGGTGGTAGGCTCTGTTGGATGCAGGGATGCTCCAGTTCGCTGACCTTGTCCTCTTCTGTTCCTTAGAGAGTGATCGAATGCCTGGAGGATGAGAAGGCGGCCCTCACCGCGGTCATGGCTGACCGGCTGCGGGACTACCAGGAGCTGGTGCAGGTGAAGACCGGCCTCAGCCTGGAGGTGGCGACCTATCGGTAAGCATGCCGTGCTGGATCTGTCCTGATAGGCCAGCAGGGGCGCATCAGTGTGGCCTCTGCCAAGTCTCTCCAGCTGGGTGACCAGCAGAGAGCAGCATTTGACATGGCCAGGCCAGGAATCCAGGGCCTGAGGGGGGACAAACAGCAAGGCTTGCCCAGGCCACCAAGCACGTGTCCCCAATGCCCCAGGGATGGGCACAGCTGCACCCTCACCTCAGTTTGTGTGTCCTGTGCATTGGGCCAGCAGGTGGTGTGGTGGTTAAGGTGCAGGACTCCCGCATGGCCGACCCTGGTTCAAGTCCCAGACCTGGTAGCGTGAAAATCATACTGAGTGGGGCCAGCAGGTGGTACGGTAATTAGGTTGTTGGTCTCCCACGTGGCCATCCACAGTTTGAGTCCTGGACCCGGTGGCTTGAAACTCATGCCAAGTGCATGTGTGTGCGTGCTCAAGATCCTGAGAAGAGAATGGAGGAGAAGAGATTGCGGCGTGGCCATACCCCCTAGGGGGTGATTTCTCGCTTTCTGTCTCTCTGTCTCTCTTTGTGTCTCTGGCAAACGCACGTGCCCTATAACACACAGACAAAAACTCTCATGAAAAAGAAAGAAAATCATGCCGGGTGCATGTGTGTGCCTGTCCAAACTCCCAGGAGGAGAGTGGAGGAGAAGGGATTGCAGCATGGCCAACCCCCCTAGGGGGGGTGATTTCCTCACTTTCCCTCTCTGTCTTTCTCTGTCTCTGGCAAGCACTTATGCCCTATGGCAAAAATATCCCAAAAATAAATAAATAAATAAATAAAGTACCCCTCACGTCAACTCATTGGCTCTTAGGGATTAGATTCTGTGTTTACAGATGAACAGACTGCCCAGGAAAGTTTCAGGGCTAGAAAGTGAGTGACTAAGGGGACCAGCAGTTAGCGTAATGGCTATGTCGCTGGACTCCCATGTAGTCAACTGCAGTTTGAGTCCCAGACCCGGTGGCTTAAATTCATGTCGCGTGCGTGTGCGTGCGTGCCCAAGATCCCGAGAGGAGAATGGAGGAGAAGGGATTGCGGCGTGGCCATCCCCCCTGGGGGGTGATTTCTCGCTTTCTGTCTCTCTGTCTCTCTCTTTCTGGTGAGCGTACGCGCCCTATAGCGAAAACCTCTCTGAAAAAAAAAAAAGTGAGTGATCAGGATTTGGGCCCAGGGAGCCGGTGGCCGGCTGCCTGTGGGGCTGGAGG